AAGACGGTGCTTGGGCTCAAACTTCATCGACTCGCGCGAGTCGTAGATGAGGGCGAAACCAGTGGATCGTCCACCACCAAATGCGGTGCGCATGCCAAAGACGACACACTGCTCCTTGGGGGTCTTGTACATCTCCGAGAGCTTCTCCGAGAGCTCAGCCCTGGAGACGTTGGGGCGAGCAGGGTGAATGACATCAAGAACCATCTGCTTCCTCTGGAGCAGACGGTTGGTGATGAACTTGCGAGTTCGGAGGGTTACGGGCGAAGTGGAGTCCTGTAAATTGACAGCGAGCATTGCATGGAATGCAGTAAAATGGTCAGCGAATCTCATGTGCAAAGGTGGTTTGGTGAATCGATGATGGACCTCTGCCGAGTCAGAATAGGAGTCAAAGTGACTGATGCTGCGGCTGCGAACAAATGTTGTTGGTTAGATGATATGAATGTTGAAATCAAAGTTGATGCATGGATGGCAAGAGCGTTTTGAGAGTGTAGTTCGCTCTGTTCGGACAACGGGAGCGCCGAATAATCCAGTCGAGCTTTGGTGCGTTGAGAAACACGGCGTGCGTTCCATGCACCAAATCCATCCTGGGTAAGCAGCGTCTCGTTTGTCCTGCGACAGAAGCCTGCAACGCCTATGCATAGCTTCAGGACTGTCCTCACTGCATAGAGCGATCAACAAAGCTAATCAGAGCGAATTGTGCCTTCGAGAAAATTCCGCATCGACCCCTTCTGAGCGTCGACGAATGACTCAATGCATGTCGAGGCCAAAGAGTTGAGATCGTGGGTGCGCTTTTGTCTGCAACAGTACTACCGTCGAGAAGGTGCACAACATATATCTTCCAGCAAGAAGAGCAGATTCGTGATGATTTTCTATAGTCCCAATGATCGAATGATACGTCTGTGAAACGAGTTTGCTAATGTTGATGCTGATGCAAATGTAGACTGGAGCGTTTTCCAAATGCCGACATTGTCGCTGAAGCGCTCGGTTTGAGAGATTGTCGTCATGTTGTCTGGTTCACGGTCTTGCACCGTCGTATGCTTGTCTGCTGAAATCATGACTGTTATATGTCGAATGGATGTGTAGTTCGTGCGAGCAGCAGCATCACTGTGATTGTGTGTCTGTGGATACGTGGCTGATTCGGCGGAGATCGGCATCAAAAGTAAAGGAGCTTACTCACCATCTTGACGAATTCTTGGTGATAGCGAAGAGGAGCTAAGGATGGTGTCGAGCTTGATCAAGCACCAAACCACTCGCACACCCCGAGCCTCAGTCTCAGTCCACTGTCTCTTGCCCTTTGGCACTTCAGTCTCGGTTTGCAACCACACTCTCAGAGACACTGGCCGAGACTTGCAATGCTGGCTCTTTAGTTTCAGACTCTTGGCGGTGTTGAGCTGCACGAAATCAGCTCTCGACCAGGTTGCACATCGCGGTATGGCTCAAAGCTTGAATCCAAATTCAAATGTCTCGTATGCAGCTTGACTTCTTGGTTGAATACTCTTTTCTATTTCCGACCTTTGTATCCAAAATTCTGCCAGTAAAAAAATTAGCATAAAGGCCAGCAAAATTTTTGAGAGCGTGGGAATTTTTCTTGACCAACTGCAAATTGATCCACAGATTGGTAGACACGCTTCTGTTCGATCAACCGATCGGGTAATATCGGGAATTGCCATTCGGACGTTGATCTCGTTCGGAATTCGGACTCACCTCCACTCATGGAATGGCTGCATTAACCGACTAGTTGCATTTGGACCCTTAATCTGCATCCGCACTTTTTACAATACCGATGACCAACGATGAGCGATGCTCTTGCCGGGTTATCACAGTACACAGACTCCGAAACCGACGATGTAATATCGTCTGATACAGACAAAGAGCATGCTGTTCCTATGCAAGTCGGTCAACACGATCACAATAGAGATCGCTCGCCTGCGACACAACTACCGGTTTCAGGCCGTGCAAATTGGCTCAAGAGGTGAGCATCCCCTTTGGGACTTGCCATTGCTGTGTATCGTGGAACGGCTGCTAAAGCACAGAACGTTTTTTTTCTCTGGTCTCGCCGCTGTGTATGGGTACAGAAAACTGCCTCCGTTGGAGTTGGATCGCCCGCCACAAGATGATGATGACGTTGACCCAGCAGCGGCAAAGTCAGCGACGAGTGGGGGCAGTGCAAAAAAGCTCACCCGTGGAGAATGGCTGTGCTATTGCTTTGTCGAAGGTGAGTCTGCTTCAAGAGCAAGGTTGCATCCATAACGTATTTTTTCTGAACATAATTTCTCGCTTGCTCCTCAGTCCATGTCGAGCCCTCTCTAAACAAGTTGATAACAGAATGTCACAATTATCTGCAGAGACACCTTGGCTCTGACCACAACTTGCTGGACCTGCGAGTCTTCTCGGATTTAAACAATTCGGAAGGGACATTATTGGCCAAGGGAGAGGCCTTGGCCACCCGCTCGATAAAGGGACAGCTGCACATTTCCTTGACCCGCCCGTTCACAGTGCATAGCTACGAGCGTGAGGAGTACGTAAAGGTCGCTTCCGCCGAAGTCAGTCGTCTCAGAGACACAATTGGGAGGTGAGAGACACTATTCCTTAGATACTCTTCCATCAGAAGATGTTTGCGAGAGACTGACATCGAATTTGTTGTTTGATTAGCTTTGCCTTCTCTTTCTCAAGAATCGCTCATTTGGCCAATGATGACCAGTCGAGGAGGTTTATGGTCTTGGAAGTCGGTTCTGGTCGCGAAATGGTATGTTCGTAAATGCGTCCCAAAATTGTGATTTCAGGCCGTTGTGGTAATATCATCATGACCGTCTGATCTATCTTGACTTTTTGTGCACTTCACAGTTTCAGAAACTCTCAATCTCTCTCAGCACCGAGCTTCGACGAGCATTCAAAGCAAAGCAGTACTACGAAGAAGCACGATTCCATGCAAGCACAGCATGTTTTCTCGACACCCCAACCACCAGTCACATTCAAAACGCCACGGATGCTACTGCGAAGACACTGACACCATCTTTCTGCAACCTGGTCAGCAAGGTAGAGGCAAAGCGGGGTGATCTCCTCCGGAAGAGTCCACCCATCTGGGCTACTCGTGTCGGTATACAGGTGGCAAATTGCGTATCCTATGTAGAGCTCTAACACAAACTCGTAAGCCATCAACACTGAATCTCTACTGATCGTATTTCGACGTATGCGTTGATCAAAACAATCTGAACCTAACTCTTAACCGAATTGAAATTTAAATATATATATTATATACACTATAATTTTTCGAGATGGTATAAGAGGATCCGAATTAGTTTAGTGGCTATGACGGCGCCTTGTCATCTTCGGATGCTTGTTCATAATCTCTGCGTTTCACACGGCGCAGACCCGGGTTCAATTCCCGGATTCGGAGAATAATCTTTTTTTTTTTCCCTTTAACAAGGCTCACGAACGCATCCTTGCCTGGCTAGCAAAGTATTGCGAGATTTTTGTCAGGTATCTGAAGCATTTCAAGAACGCTTGGGGATATTTGAATGACCATTATCCTTGCCCTTCCAAGAACCCAACCAACTTGAAGCCAAATACTACTTTCGTCCAACCCGATCTCTGCCCGCACTGCTTACTTACCCGAGATGAGCCTTCGACCGCATGCAGCGAGTCCACTTGGAATCTATCAGCGTTTCTGCCACCACTCTCGAAATTGAAATCTGCAAAGAATTCGAGACCAAGCTATTCAACCCTGACTTGCTTCTTGATATTGTGCGCCATCACCTCAAACCGCGCCTCGCACTCTTGGAGGAGTTGTCGCCCAAGAATGTAATGCAACCTTTCCATTTTCTAGCGCTGGATGAGTGTGGTTCCATGTTGGCGTTGTTGTTAAAGTAGTCAGCATGGCCGGCTCGGACTGCGTTGACGCCGATCAAAAAGTCGTAGGAGAGATGGACACCTTTGCCTTTGGTGATAGATTTGCACCTGGCGCTGTAAAGTGAGGCAAAAGATCGATGTCGCTTCGACCTTCGGTACCAGGAGTGTGGACCCAGATGTGGTGCTCGCCCTTGTCAGAGTCGCGTGCAGATGGATTGAGAATGACCTAGAAGCATACGCCAGGATGACCGAAGGAATTAGAGAGGAGGGCGGTTTGATAGTGAGGCAGGTTGCGCGGGAGATGGGTAATGTGCCGACCGGACAAGAGGTGACGAACAGTACTTGAGGATGCAGGGAATTGCGCAAAGTGACAGCTTTGAAGTCCTGGATCTGGCACTAGTTACGCTACCGAAGGCCTCGAGCCAATTATGATGACCATGGAAGCCTGCCTTTGGGTCCAAACAATTCCGCGGCCGAGGCTCAAATAAAGTTATGTCTGCGTACCACTGTTGTGGTGACTGCCAAAGTGTGCTGCCAGTCTCGGCGAGAAGGGAAAGAAAGAGAGCTTGTGGAAGAGGCTGAGGGAGCAAAGTGGGCACAGGACAGCCGGAAGTTAATTGGCCGCAAAAGATTCAGATGTGGTGAATGGTGCGATCTTGTGACACGGGAACGGCTGCGTTGAAAACAGAGTATTGGAAGGTGGACGGTGTGCGGACAAAGGAGTGAGGTTGCGTGTAGGTGTGGCTCTTGACGTTCAATTCATCGTATGCGAGCTCGCACGGGTGCTGATCGGATGAAGGTGTGGGTGAGTGCGTAGAAGCGGTGATCCCAAAACGTCCGTGAGAGAGTTGTACAAGGTCGACATAACAAACGAAGAACTTCAAAATTGAGTGAGGGCAACATCTGCATGGCGCACATTCCTCTTTCTTCTTATGGCTTCATGGGTGGATCTTGCAGGTTGCTGCAGATGGTGGTGACACATCTAAGAAGAGATGTAGACAAGTTGCTTAACTCAGTCCAGGCCCATCATTCAATTTTGGCTCGAAGTACGGGTAAATTACGATATTGCACTGTCACTAGAGCCGAACAACCAAGACAAAGTTGAAAGCGGTGCGAAACTATTCGAACCCACTTCAAGGCACGGCGGGTGCAGTAGTGCCGCGTGTGGGGAAGCGGTCAGTAAGTGTGAAGACCCCGTGACCCCACGCTGACACAAAGCGCGCGGGCCACTTACCATCGGTCGGAGAATACAAAAAAAGGAAAATGGTGTCTGTGACACTAATTTTTTATTTTATTTCATTTTTATTTCATTTTTATTTACTTTTTACCCCGCCTTGCTTCAGCGAAGCGATGCTTTTCTTTCGCCACACTCGTTCCTGCTTGCCGCAGCGTCCTGTCAGAAGGATGGAAGCTGTCGACGAGCAAAGGGGGAAAGCAAAGGTATATTCTGAAGCGCGCGAGATGGGCTCTGATGTCATTCCAAGTCTCTCGATTTGATCGTATGCCTGATCGCTACTGACTTTTGAGCAGCGGCAGCCAAGATGTTGCAACCTCCCTTTCATCAGCCTATCAAGCGAGATCAAGCCAAAAGTTATCGCTGAAATAAAGTGATAGCATTGCCGACAGACGAGTCAAGAGACATTGGACTGATAAGCGGTAGGCTCGCGTGACTGTCGGGTCTTTGAAGTGTGTCAGGAGAGAAAAGAGGCCAAGACGAAGTCGAAAGAAAGTCCAATTGGTTATACACATCTGATGTTTTGGAGGGACAGAGTGGTAAGTTAGCGCTTCGCCTGACCTTCAAGGTCGAACAAGCACGTTCCATGTTCGTGGCGTCAGACCCGCCATCTCTGTGCGTGTGGAAATAGAGTTGTGCAGGGACAGTCAGCGACAATAAGGTGTTCCTTCCTCTGTGTGCTACCTCTCACACTCTGCACCCTGACGAGGCTGCCCATTGTGACTAGGAAACCCGGAAATAATAATAAAGGCCGACGCCTGTTGGCCCGTTCGCTTGCAACCTCTGCCTGTCGCGGTTCGGAGGTGACACTCTGGGGGAGTCAAGTTGGCTTGCGACTGACTCTCTGCTCAGCATCGCCTCTCTTTCTGTGTTGAACTGCAACGTCCACGGCCAGCTCTTGCGGCTCTTGGCCGACATTCCATTCAGTGCAATTCAATATTCAACCGCTCAAGCCTCCGTCTGTCGGCGCTTCCTCGATCCTGGTTTGCATTGCCTCGACACGCTTTCTCTCTCTCTCTCTCTCTTCAGGTGCCATTCAATGTTGGCATTAGCAAGCCTCGTGATGCCGCCTCGTTGCCCTTCTCCCCGCAGTCAGAAGCCTCGCACGCTCCTGCAGATATATAATATGAGATGGTCCGCCTCAGTAACTTTGCTCGTTCCCGCATCTAGGATCACCTCTCATTTCCATCGATCCAACTTGCCACTTCATCTTTCTCCCCTGCGTCTTTTTCCCTCCTCAGCAACCCCCATAAACACAGATTAAACATGCCTACTCTCAATCTTGACCTCCCCACCGGCATTAAGTCGACCATCCAAGCCGATCTGTTCATCAACAACAAGTTCGTGCCTGCTCTTGACGGCAAGACTTTCGCCACCGTCAATCCTTCCACTGGTAAGGAGATTGGCCAGGTCGCCGAGGCTTCCGCCAAGGATGTCGATGTAGCTGTTAAGGCTGCCCGTGAGGCTTTTGAGACCGTCTGGGGTGAGAACACTCCAGGTGATGCTCGTGGCCGTCTCCTCCTCAAGCTTGCTGACCTCGTCGAGAAGAATATGGACGAGCTTGCTGCCATCGAGTCTCTCGACAACGGCAAAGCGTTCTCTATCGCTAAGGGCTTTGACGTTGCTGCTGTCGCTGCCAACTTCCGCTACTATGGTGGCTGGGCTGACAAGAACCACGGAAAGGTCATGGAGGTCGACAACAAGCGTCTGAACTACACCCGCCACGAACCCATCGGTGTTTGCGGTCAGATCATTCCCTGGAACTTCCCCTTGCTCATGTTCGCCTGGAAGCTCGGCCCCGCCCTTGCCACCGGCAACACCATCGTCCTCAAGACCGCTGAGCAGACTCCTCTCTCGGCCATCAAGCTTTGTGAGCTCATCGTCGAGGCAGGCTTCCCTCCTGGTGTCGTCAACGTCATCTCTGGTTTCGGTCCCGTCGCAGGTGCCGCCATCTCGCAGCACATGGATATTGACAAGATCGCATTCACTGGTTCCACGCTTGTTGGTCGCAACATCATGAAGGCCGCCGCTTCCACCAACCTCAAGAAGGTCACCCTCGAGCTCGGTGGAAAGTCGCCCAACATCATCTTCAAGGACGCCGACCTCGACCAAGCCGTCCGATGGTCCGCATTCGGCATCATGTTCAATCACGGTCAATGCTGCTGTGCTGGCTCGCGTGTGTATGTCGAGGAGGAGATCTATGATGCATTTATGGAGAAGATGACAGCTTACTGCAAGGCTCTCCAGGTCGGTGACCCCTTCGCCGAGAACACCTTCCAGGGTCCTCAAGTCTCGCAGCTTCAGTACGACCGTATCATGGAGTACATCGAATCGGGTAAGAAGGATGCCAACCTTCACCTTGGTGGTGTGCGAAAGGGAGACCAAGGCTACTTCATCGAGCCCACCATCTTCACCGATGTTCCTCACAATGCCAAGATCGCCAAGGAAGAGATCTTCGGCCCCGTCGTAGTGGTTTCCAAGTTCAAGGACGAGAAGGACCTCATCCGCATTGCAAACGACTCGATCTACGGTCTCGCCGCCGCCGTCTTCAGCCGAGACATCAGCCGCGCTCTTGAGACCGCACACAAGCTCAAGGCCGGTACCGTGTGGGTGAACAACTACAACCAGCTGATGCCCCAAGTTCCTTTCGGTGGCTACAAGGCTTCAGGTATTGGCCGAGAGCTCGGCGAGTATGCTCTGGCCAACTACACCAACGTCAAGGCCGTGCACGTCAACCTCAGCATCCCTCCCCCTATCTAAACGATACCGGAAAGGAAATGAAAGTGAATTGAAACGTATTGCTATGTATCTGTATTCCCGATGATTCATCATCTGTCGCATGAAAAAGATCTGGAATTTATGAACAAGCTCGTGTGATCGTGATGCTTTACAGCTTGTCGACTGTGTACGAGTGATGCTTGCCACTGGTGCTCTGCTTGTCTTGTCGCCATGCTACTCGCATTGCGGACGAATGATTATCCGTTCATCACGGTGTTCTCCACGACCAACGACCGAGTGTGTGTAGGACTTGATGTTCTGCGGCTGAAGAGAAATCAATATACTGTATTCTAACGTCTTTGTCGATTTTGCCGACGGATACTGATTGACAGCAGCATGTTTGCGGCAATGAAATGGTAGCGTTATCGGGGCCCGATATTTTATCGCACCGATTTGGGTAGGGCGAGGTCGAATTGGGTGGACCCTGAAAACGTGCTCAGGTTTGAGCGCCCAACGTTACACAAGATCGCGAGTGTCGATGTGGCAAAACTTGGATGCGAAAATTCGAGATTTTGGGGGCTTTGGTGACGCAGTCG